GAAGAGCATGGTATTTTTTTTAAAAGCTGTGGCTTCAAGCTTATGCTGGAAAGCTGAATATGAATGCTGTTGTTGAGGCTAAGACTGCCATGAGCTTTCCATAAATGTTATGTTCACAGACTCAGCTGTAGAAATTAAATGGTGATTAATAACATTTTTGATCACTGAATTTCATAATCTATAGGGACTACAATGCTTTCATTTTTTTCTGTTGCAGTTCTGTTTGAGATTTCAAGACTATTAAACACTGGCTTGGATATGGAAACCTTGTCTATTTGTGTGAGGCTTTGTGAACAGGGGATAAATCCAGAAGCATTATCATCTGTTATTAAAGAACTGCGTAAGGCTACAGAAGCTCTAAAGGTAATTTTTTTTGCTTAAAAAGCTTATACATTTGTTTTTATGAGTCAGATATACGTTCAACTCGCTATACTTCAATTTGTAAATTGTACCTTAAGATACGACTCTTTTTTAAATATAGGAAATTAACTGTTCTCTAGAAAAGTCAATGAATACAACTAAATGGAACATGAAGCAAAAAATGGTGTGAATAAAAACTTCTCAGAAATAATTAGGTTAACTTTTTGGAAGGAAGAAAAGCAACCCAAACCCACAGATTTTTAGCCACCATTCGCTGCCACTATTTGCCCCCTTATCTACATACTATCACAAGTAGATGGCTATTTTCTGCTTTAACCCATATCACCTCATTTGTACAACCTAAGGCCTAATAGTGTGCAGCAGTACTTGAAAACAGGTAAATGCAGCTTGCTAATGTAATTGTCATATACTGCATTTACCACATCAGCTGGTCCTTTGAATCTCTCCGAAGACAAATTAGAGGGAATTTCAATCTAATAGATGGCTTTTTGTAATTTAGCATTTACCTGTTTAGCTAATAGAGAGAGTAACTACGGTTTAAAAAAAGTCCTCACTTGCCTTTTAAAGGATTTTCATTATTTTCTGTCCACCTAAACATAGTTTTATTTTCCACTGTATCTTACAGTTGTTTATTTCTGGGGAGGTGGAGGGGAAGCCTGTATCTAGCCTGCCTATTCCTACTTTGGAGAACTGCATTCTGATTCTTAGAAAATTCAACTTAAAGTTCGTCACTAGATGAATGCTACTCAGGGCTATTTTGCATTGGTTTTCAAGGTTTTATCTTTGGCTTTAACCTGGCAGTTTTCTGTGCTTATCCATATTTAACACTTGCGTACATGCCTAAATGTGTACATACATGAATGTCTAACTGTATACAAGTAACTGAGGGCTATTGTACTTCTTTCTTTGTTTTACTGCTTTATCATTCTCATTGCTCTTTCCC